TTGACTTGACCTGCCATAACTGATCACCCATCCTCATTCAGCTTAATCATTAAAATGTAACGTGAGCCAAGAAGTTTCAGGCCAGCACCATACATCTTCTTAGTCCGACATCTACATACRTGTGTATATGCTGCATGTTTATTTTCATGTATGACATTCACMCTTTATTTTCATTGCTGAATGTTCAATATATTATACCCCCTCCTCTTAGCTAGAGTCTGTTTCTTAAAGACCAGCTACTCGAAGTCTCTGTGTATCACCCACACTATCACAATACAAATTAGACAAAATAGATGCTTAATGGTGTAATTCGCTTTACAATGGCACCATTATTACAGCATTACTCTATTTTCATTATTACTGCATATTAGAATCAGCTTCCAACATGTTTGAGTGAAGAAATAAAACCACCTAATCACAGTGCCAATTAATTCTGTAAAAGTCATGCAGTATATCAAAACTAAAAACCTTTTCAGAGCATCCCAGAAAGACAGGATTCCACTCTTGAGTCATTTCCTCCAGCTTGCTCTGCCCCTACCTCGCTGTACTTTGACCTATGCTAGTCCAGTTACAAGTAAAGTCAATAAAAGACCTGTGGCAAGTTTAATTGATCCTCTAAGAAAAGATATTCTAATCCATCAGCACTCCCTATCCTTGCGCTAACATGATTTTCCCAGGTTTACCCAAAACTATTGTGGTACCAATAACCACTCTTTCTCACGCTGCTCTCTCATCAGCTCAAATACTGTAACAGCAGAGTAATTTTGAGCAGGTTGTGAGTCTCTGAGAGTATTGCTTGCAAAGTGCATGTAAATTATTAGATTACATTACAAGTGAACGACTCAGCAGTGGGTCACCACAGTGGAGCATTAATGTAGAACAAGTTGAATGGAGCCCTTGCAGACAGCCTTCTCCAATGGGATTTTTTGGCAGGGAGGAGAAAGTGAGTGAAGGAGAAGGGAGGGCCAGGAACGATAAGATGCTAGAACTGAGAGCACAGAGCATGGTGGGAAGGAGGGGTCTACCCCATCCTCGAACTGGGAGAATTAGTCGTGGGGGACCACAGGAATGATGGGGTTGCAGGGAGGGAGGAATGAACAGTCACTTCTGGTTCAGCTGAAGGCATGAGAGGTAACATCAGGAAAGCCCAACAAGTGGTGGATGGGTTGAACTTAAGTGATCCGTCCTCCCTTGGCAGGACCCAGCCCAGGGTAACTGAACTGCGAGATGGGGGCTGGATCCAGTCCCAGAAATGGACCTGGCAGTAAGAGGAAAAGCGTCAGAACCTCCACTGATGCCCTGAGACTCTTGCTTATTTCACAGAGCAGCCAATCAGCATCAAGGAGGAATGCTCCAAGCAATGGTGACTGGACCCAATAAGGAGAAGGGGATGGTGGTGAGGGGGCTTCACCACCCCTCACACCTGCTCCATCATTATTGCCACCATCCCAGGAGCTACTCTTAATATTTTCCAGGCTTCTTGCCAAGCCCTGAGTATTGATTTTTATCACACCTGGTCCTCCCAAGGTACATCTGCAGCATCCCCAATTTTCAGGTGAGGAAACAGACTGAGAGGTCAAACAGCATACCCAGCCTACGACCCAGGTCTCTCTCACTCCAAGGAAGCTTCTAACAGCCAGATATATGTACTACTCTCCCAACATGGCCAGCCTCAGTCTGAGTTATTCAAGATTGGAGCAGGCCTGAGCGTGCAATGGAGGGGACTGGTGGATCCAGGAGAATGGGAGGTGGGAAAAACAAGGGTCCAAAGCCCAAACCCAGTTGGAAGTACAAGCAAGTTAGAGATAAGTTTGCAGAGTTCAGAGAGCTGAGCTGGTCTCTTGAGAAACAAAGAACTCTGCACAGCAACATGGGAAAGATTACTTGCACAGTTAATGAGCACCATCTTTAATCAAAAACTGAGGATTAAAACATTTGTCCATGATCCCTGTCTTGGGGAAACCAAGCTTACATACAAAAAAAAAAAAAAAAAAAAAGCAGTATAAGACAATGTAAAAGGAACTGGCAGAGGAAGAGTTACATGTTTGTTGCATGAGCAAGGCCTATGTGACTGACAACTATCAAAGGGAACTTGGGGACTTCAGGAAGGACAGGGTGGATCTTACTGTAGTTGAATTGATGGTAGGATTTCCCATAAGCAAAGACACATGAGGACAGATTGGGTGAGGGACTGGAGGAGGGGAAGGCTGAAGGTACATGAAAGGTATAGAGGTGAAAAAAGTCAAGTTCAAGGTAAGAGAACTGTTTGAAGTGTCTGGACCCAGTGGGTTACCCTACAAAAAGCCACCACTAGAACATAAGATTCAGGAAGGCAGGAACCTGGCCTCTCTTGTGTGCTACTTTATCCCCAGAGTCTAGCACAGTGCCTGGCACACAGTAAATATTGATTGAATGAAAAAAAAAATATACCACCCTTGGGCTCTTGCACACTGATGTGTATTCAAAGCAAGGGGTGGGGATCCAAGTATTTATATTCTAAACCAGTCAAGGCAGATGCATATCTAAATGAAATAGGATATTAATGAGCATGTGCTAAAAGTGGCATAAAGATACTGTATGATTATAATAATAAGTATTTACATTATTTGTCCTCCCCTACTTCCTCCTTGGAATCATAATGAGTAACACCTGGAGCTCAACATCAGTTACTGTGGAAACACTTCCCTTCTCCCTCCCACTGCCAGGCCCCAGGCCCCTGAAGGGCTGCTTCTACCCCATGCCCAGGATAGGGTTTTTCAGATTTGCAAGAAGCAGCTCATAAATAGATCAAGAAACCAATTTGATGGCTCATGACCTGTATTTTAAATAATAGCGCAAAAATAACAGTGCACCACAGCTAAAGGGTAAATATTTTATAGCAAAAGTTTATTTCTCTTGCGTGCCTGTCTCTATGTGCAGATTCATGTGACTATGTGTATACTGGCTCACAATATCTATTTTTCTCATTGTGGATTGCAATATGAATGTTTCAAAGATATTACTCTAGAGGGTCAAGAAGTTCCAAAATTAGGACACTCCTTTTAATATTCAAGATGAATGACTCCAGTTTTCCTGGCTGAATGTGACTGTCGAAAGGTATTGCTCGCAGCTGGGCACAGTGGGGGCACACCTGTAATCTCAGTGGCTCAGGAGTTCTGAGGCAGGAGGATCACAAGTTCAAAGCCAGCCTCAGCAACTTAGCAAGACCCTATCTCAAAATAAAAAATAAAAAGAGCATATGATGTGGCTCAATTGTTAAGTGCCCCTGGGTTCAATACCTAGAATCAAAAAAGAAAAAAAAAAAAAGGCATTGCTCTTTGCTCTTGGGCTGGTAAACTTGGACCAGTAACACACCAAGTTTGAAATGAGTTTCTTCATAGCATCCCCAGCTTCACAACACAGAAACAATGTTTTTTTGGGGAAAAAAGATTTATTTTTAGTAATACATACAAAATGCAGGAAACTCAAAAAATACAGAAAAGCAAAAAAAAAAAAAAAAGAAAGAAAGAAACTCAGATAATCCCACCATCTGTAGATAACCACTTTATTATTTCATTGTTTTGAAATGTTAATTTATCGAGTCAAAGTTAATCTATTGATAGAATTATAAAATATCTCTTATCTACACATGTACACACACTGGAATTATTTTCACAAATATAATGTGATTCTCTGCACACTGTGATGAAAGCTGTTACTTTTCATTTAGCAACAGGTTGTAAACTTTTTACCCATTAAGAAGTACCTTTCCACTGCAATATGACTTTTAATGGCTTTGTAGTAATCCAACCATAGACTTGCTTTCACTCTCCCTATAAAAGGCACAGCAGCCTTCATCTTAAAGAAAGAAGCTGGCCGGAGAGACACTTAACAGCACAGGGTAAGATGCACAACTCCACAACCTGTGACTTCCTCTCTACTAATCAGAACATGAGACTCAAGAATTATTTTCACTATGCTTTAGAATGACTTTACTGACATAGCTATAAGCTCACTGGCTAATTTTTAATTAATAATAGACACGTCCAATGGGATTTAAAAATCACAGTTACTGACAATGTTCCATTATTGATGCATAGCCAAAATGACTCTCACTACTTACTTTCATATATACATCTACTACCTAATTCCACATTAGTTTCTACACATACCTTAATACCCTCAAGGGGTTTCCTGGAGGAAAGGAAATTCTGAGAACCCTGGCACAGCACACAAGTGGAAGGAAGATTAGTTGAGAAAGTAGACCTGGAGTCCTGTCATACCCTTGCTATGGTTTTGGACACCTCTAGATGTCGGTGAGCTTTGGTTTAAATGGAGGGATGAGCTAGAGGGTTCTTAGGTCCCCTTCTGGGTCTAACACACTGTAGTCCAATAAAATAGAACCAGTGGCAATACCATGAGTGAACCTCACATATCTAACATATATCCCCAATCTCAGATTAAAAAGCAAGTTTTAGCCAGGCATGGTGGTGCACGCCTATAATCCCAGTGGCTCAGGAGACTGAAACAGGTGCACCAAAAAGCCAGCCTCAGCAACTTAGTGAGGCCCTAAGCAATTTAGCGAGACCCTGTCTCAAAATAAAAAATAAAAAGGGGTGGTGATGTGGTTCAGTGGTTAAGCACCCTTGGGTTCAATCCCTGGTACCCCCCACAAAAAGAAAGAAAGAAAGAAAGAAAAAGAAAGAAAGAAAGAAAGAAAGAAAGAAAGAAAGAAAGAAAGAAAGAAAGAAAGAGCAAGCTCTAGAACATTCAAGAACCCATCAATTCTCCTAGTGACTCTCTGTGCGGAGAAAGTTGTAGAACCTCAGTAATCTTTGGCTGTGTCCCTCCCACTGAGAAACTTGACAATTTCTGGGTCAACAGGCTGGTCTATAGAAACTGCCCTGGTTCCTACTCCCCCAACCCCACGCTCCTCCGAGGTAGGTGAGGAGTGCCAGAGATGGCAAGAGCCACACCAGCAGTTTCACACCTGTCAGCATCAGTCAAGTAATCAGGTCACTAACAGAGAAATCATTTTTTATTATCAAATTATTTCATTTGCCTTTGCTTTCCCAGTGCTTCATCACCTGGACAACTGAGAGTTACGGGCAGTCCACCCTCCCAGCTGCCCCGTCCTTTCAGATATAATATCCCTGTCACACAAATGTTCCCGGGAGTGAACGCTGTATTGTCACGTGGGCTTTTCATCTTCCACTGGTTTTATAACTGGAAAGTGAAAATGAAAAGCAACGCAGTTTATTGAAGAGGTTTTAGGCTTGCTAAATATACACATTTCCTCTGTGATTGGATGTTGAAAATCCATTAATTTCCACAGTCACTCCTCGCCGTGACTGGCATCGATCACATGGGTTGATATAAGCCTCTTTGCTTCTGGAAGGGCAGAATCACATCTGGTTGCCTTTTTCTCCATCTCTGTCCATTTCTTCAGGTCTCTTGAAAACTAATTGGAAGAGTCAATAAACACGCCCACCAATTCCTTCACCATCCCGGTGAGCAGATCAGCGTGCCCTTCAACCTGTTCTTGCTGTTTTTCCAAGTATTCCCTTACCTGCCTTTGTCAATTGGCATTCTCGACAAGTTCGTCATAACTTCTCAAAAGTGTCAACTTTCCTCTTTTCATTGCCCTTGTTAAAGATAATTTAAAATTAGAAAGTCACATTCCCAGCCATTTCAGAGTCAATGCTAATTTCATTTTCTTTTGCACAGAAGTCTCTTTACCCTCTAGAGATCCCCTGCCTTCATCCACGGGCCCCCCGCTCCCCAGCCCCAAACAGGCCTTCTTCATCTCTGTGTGCACTACTCCCTTCCCCTGACACCACTCTTATCTTTCCCCCCAAATACTTCACCCAGTGAGACACACTTTAGCTGTGGTTCTCCTTCCTTCACTCCACTTCGGAGGGAAATGTCTGTGTCTAGAGATTGTAAAGTCACCTTCAGGAAAGAAGCATACAGTGGGCTGTCAATTAATCAGGACGAGACAGGAAAAATTACATCACGTGCAGCCTGGTGTCTCAGCATCTACATTCACGTTGGGGGGATCAAAAGGATTTCTCCCACACAACCTCAAATTCTTAGTTATACCTTTTGTTTGGTTCTAACTGCTTCCCCAACTAACAGCACTATAGTTAATAGTGTGGAATACAGTGATTACCATACCTCATTATAGAGTCAAATGTTGCTCTACTCATTTTTCCCCATCTCTGGAAATTTCATCTTTATTCTTTGCAACCTGTCCGTTTATCCTCGGTAGCATTCTTCGCCTATAAATGATTTTATATTCTCTAATTTTTAATCCCACTTGTAGACTGACATATAGATTTTGAGCCTGTTTCTTTCCCCCTGTTAACCACAGACCCAAATGTCGCCATTCTTGTCACGTGGACAATTCCATCAAGTTTTAGAGTGTCATTTATACACAATTTTATTTCTTCTTACTCCTTTCACACACACCTACCACTTACGTACAGCAACTTCACTACATTCATATTTCATAAACTTCATCAGTATTCAGCCAAATCCTCCCCGGAAGTAAGCTAGGTATTTTTAACAGTGCATTGCCTCTTGCGCTGGCTTGAGGATCCAATACCAAGTGGCACATTTTCCTGCACCCCAAATGAGTTCACCTATTATGGTCTGTGCATACATGCAGAAACTCCCTAATTGTTTCAGAAAACTTGAAGATAGTTCATGATCGAAATGCCAACACCCATTAACGTGAAGATATTCAAGGCTAGGGATTGTCAATCCCCTATACCATAATACTTCCTATTCTTTCCCAAGCTTTGATGGAGTTTCAGAGAAAACACACCTGCTGATATAGAAACTCTCCCTGGGACAGCCTGGAGTCCTCTGCCATGTTTTAAGGTACATAAAACCTGAACCCTCAGCATCAATGGGCACTGCACAAGGCTCTCCCACCAGCCAGCAGGGCCCCAGTTCAGTAGATAAGCCAATCACCAAGAACCCACAATGCCATGCCACTGTTAATGTGCCATAGCATGTAATGTGGGAAGACAGTTCACAATGATGACACGTCAGTTAAAGCCATAAAAATCTGTTAGGGGGAAAAAAAAAACTGTTCTTCCATGAACACAAGGGAATTGTTACCTGTAATTCCTTTTAGCATCAGTATGTAAGAGCTGAAGCAAAAGCCAGCTCTGCCTGAACCATAAGCTGTGCTACATCCATTCCTCACCACACCCTATTTCACCCCATTTCTGTAGACAATTTGATGTCTTTGTTCCAACAACAATGACAACAACAACAAATAATAGTCAGTTGTTACTGACTAAAAAGAACACCAAGACTCCCAAGCTGAATTCCCTACACTGTGACATCCAAGATATAAGCACATACTATCCTTAGGTCAAGTGAGACGAGTCCAAGGAAGCCAGCCTCTGACCGTGGTATGGCTCCAAGGATGCTTTCCATGTAGGTGGTGCCAACTGAAGCCCAGGCCTGAGCTTGGAAGTAGAGCTTCCTTCTGCACAATCTAAATGTTCTTTACCAACATTCTTAAAGTTCTTCCTTCTAACCTTCGAGCTTTCTAACACTCGGGACTCATGAGCCCCTTTGCCAAAGATACCTCTTTAACCTACCTAAGGAAGAGGTCAAATTAGCTGGCATTTCTGTCCACCATTACATAGAGGGAACATTACATGATGTTATGGTAATATAGTAAATATATAACTTATTGTAAGTGTTAAGAGCCTTCCTGAATATTTAAGAATTATTTTGCATCTCCTATAACTCTAGAGAAAGAATTAAGAAGACTAGATGCTAGATGGAATTTTCCTATATATTAAAAACCTCAATTAACCAGAATCAACTAATGAAATTTCTAATTTGCTGCTTGCAACTTAGAAAACAAGGGAAGCAAATAACAAAACATTCCTGCTGAGGAGTTAACAAAAAGAAAAGAAAAAAAGAAAACAATTTTCATGCTGGGATCAAGACAGATTAGTCCAGTCTCTGACACTGTCTCCATTTATAGTTCTGTAATGTACAATCAGAATTCATACTCAGAACAGTGACCCTGTGGCACCATAAGATTCTCAAGCCTCAAGGAAAGATTCAATTATATCCTCAATGTTCTTTCTAGGGTAGGAAAGGGGACCAGTACACTTTAAAAAACATTCAATAAGGAAAATAGAAAAAAAACCATTTCAGATTAATCTACTGTTAGTCAGAAAAAATCAATTCATCAGTAATGCCTTGGTACCCTTACAGAAAAATCATGGTTTACTGAATATTAATCAACACTTGAATGCTGATTATTTGGGATTTTTAAAGCATTAATTCAAAATGATACAATTTTATTTTTTAGCAGCCTACAAAGATGGGTGAAAAATTTAACAGCTTAATTCCAAAGTAACCCTTCCTATTGTGAATTAGATACAAAAGGTAAATGTAAGAAAGTGATGGAGGGAGAGGAAAAGAGAAAGAGCAGACTATTCCTGAATTCTAACCAAGGAATACAATCTCCACATTCAGAAAGGATTGTACATTCTAAGTTAGTGTTTGCTCCAACCACTGAAGGCCTTTCAAAAGGACTTCTTGCTCTGGAGGAATTTATCACTAATCTGGGATCAATGGGTCAGGAGTCTCCATGAGGGAATGGATGATGCTGACCTCAAAGTCCCTGTACATGGCTCATGGAAGACAAAGAGGGTGGGCAGCAGATATCCTATTAGGATATATAATTATAACCCCCCCGCACACACCATACACACACAGGGCAGTTACATGACATCTCTTTTCCCAGATGCCTGAAATGCAGTTAGGTATTTTTGCTTTCTCAGATGCAGAAGTACGTACAAAAACTTAAAATAATAATAATAATAGTTCATCAAGTGCACTAGGAAGATGGAGGGGAAAGGGAAAGTACTCTCAAGAAAAGTAGCCCAGAGAGTCCACACCACACCAAGAGAATTTTCAATAACATCCAACTCAATCTGTCCTGCTAACATTACACTACAAGTTCCTACAGGGGGGGAAAACAACCACAACAAGGAATCTGGAGAAAAAGTACATCTTAACTCAGAAGTGACAAGAAGATTGGCCAAGGGCTGGTCTTACTGGCATTCCAAAGGTCAGGTCCACAGAGTATTCAGTTTGCTTCCAAAGGGATTCAGCTGTCATCAAACTCCTCAGACCACTGTCATCAGGAGGCCTGGCTATCACCATTTCCATTCTCAGGCCTCCTTGTGTGCCACTTCAGGAGTCTGTGTGGAATGAGGGGGCATGTGCTGGGTGCTCCCACCTCTGCTGCCCCAAACACACAAGCAGAAGGGTCTCATCCTGAGGGGGCATCAGTGCAGGCTTCATCCGAGCTTCCGTTTCAGAAACAGAGACATTTTCTAAAGTCAAGGGCTCCACATCATGCCTGTAGGTTTTGGAAAATTCCAGCAGGTGACTAACATAAAAAGAGTCTGCTATAAATGTTTTAGCCACTCAAGACTTGAATTCTAGATTAATAATTCAATTCTTTTTAAGAAAGAAGGGGGGGAGCAACAGAAAAGGTTATCATAACTATCATGAAATGCATTTTCTAAAATTATTCTATTACATTTTTAAAGCGTATAATTATAAATGTTTTTATGAGCAATTTACCGGAAAATTGAAGTCCCTCAGTTTAAGAAAAAAATCACTTTGTCCCTGTGGCAAAGGATTTTCTCCCAGCCAGGAGCACTTTCAAACTATAGGGCTTCATTTATTCACTGTAGAGAAGCCAGATTCATGCCAGAAAAGTTGATCTGAGAATCCATCTCTAGAAAGGGTGCTAACTTGCTAAGGGAGAGAACCTACTAGAAAGTGACTCACCTGAGATTAAAGGGAAGAGAGGAGGGCACATACTTTCACAGTCAAGGAGTTTTGTGGTTCTAGAAGTCCTCAGGGCTACAAATAAATTGTAGGCCCTGTTAACTGATTTTAAGTCAATCTAAGCCAAGCTTCCAGGGGGTTCGATCTCAACCCAACCGAGCTTTTTTTTCAATGTTAATCCCATCTTTTGGCTTCGATTTTTCCCTTAGGTCAGCTTGCTCTAAAAGCCTTCAACCTTCTGCACTGGTGTTGCAAACCCAGTGCATGGAATCCAGCCCTGTGAGGATAACTTTACTGAAGTAAAATATGTAAGCTTCCGGCATGCATATAATAACGAGATTCTGAAAAAAGGTTTTTTAACAACAGTTATGTCACAACGCTCATGGCTCCCTGAAGTCTCTGAAAGCCTTGTTAAATTAAAGATTCGCTGTGGTTTTTTTCCGCTTCATTCCTACTTCCCATGTTGCCTCTTGCCTGTCTTTTTTTTCTGGTTTTCATTGTGCTGTAAAGATGGGACTGAATGACACCAGCCATCATTAATACCACCTAGAAAACGGAAGAGTTTCATTAAAACTGCTAAGGTTCCCTGCAGTTGTAAGGATGGGGGGAGGTCATCTTTCAGATTATGAAGTCACACATCTGATTTTGGAAGCTCAGGCGCTAAAGGTACACAGCCCATTCACACTTGAATTCCCAGGAGGTAGGAATTCAGCAATAGCCTCAAGTCTATCTAGGTAATGTCTCATGAGGTCACCTCAATGTCATGAGAATCCAGACCACATTCTCTGTGGACTTCAAACACTCACTGGCTAGAGGCTAACCGCTATCTTTTTGGGCAGCATCTCCCAAGTCAGAAAGCTTCTCATTTTCCCCAATGCAAAGAACTCCATTCAACCCTCCTTGAGGTTGAAAATGCTAATTATAAGGTGATGATGTTTGCTTTTCCTTTGAGTCGTGTGCCTTTATGTTTTAAGTATTTAAGAGGCGTAATCACCTAGTGTGTAGGTTAATTTCTTTCCGATATTGTAATTTATGCAACATTAATACTGGATGCCAGCTCCAATTTTCTTACTGCTTACACTCTGGAAGCAGACTTGCATATTCTGCCAACTCCATTACATCATCTGAAAACCCAAACATTTCCCATTTTCAAATCACTCTCAACTACCAGGCATACTTACACATTCTCTCTTTTTCTCCCAGCTCACACACAAAGATTGGTACCCCTGAGGAGCAGACGCTACATCTGAGGTTAAAGTCTGCAAATGCACATAATTTCTGGAAGCTATTACTACTGCTGTGTTAGCTAAAGGATGCCTCCATCTCTGACCTTCCTTTTTCCATTCAGACTGTTATATAACCTAGTGCCTGCGTGCAGGATGTGAGTTGAGTGTTTGGGCCTTACCTCCCCCCTCCCACTAAATCTCCTAAGAGCCATGGCCAGGGATGGACAGAATGGGGGGGGGGGCTCTAAGAGGAAAGGGGATATAGGTCAGCAGGTCAGCTGCATAAGATGCATCCTACTCCTAGTTTATCCCTCTCCCCTTTGTGCTGAGCCTAGGTGGTATTGAATGCCCCGGCGTTATATAATTTGCAAGAACAGCAAGTTACGGATTTGCTAGTCGGTTCTGCAGCTTGCCACCCCTATCTCTTGCAAGAACACCTTCTGGCAAGAATGACACCTGAAGATGCTAATAACATACAGGAGGGGGGAGGGGCTGAAAAGGGGGGGTGATAACACAAACCAGAAATTAGTGCCGCTTCCTATATACTATGCTCCCCCTTCTTAAAAAGAGAGAGAGGAAAAAAAGCCTCAGAAACACATGAAGGGGATTTTCTCCAGTGTTTCTGATTAACCCTGTTACATAACCCGCTCGCATTCCAAATCCACCGTCTCAGGGTCTAAATATACTCTTTGCAGCCAAAAGCTCTCCGCACACAAACTCACCGATCTAGCTGCAGGTCCGGCCCCCAGCCCTCATCCCCTTTCCTTTCGCCCCAGCCTTACTGCCCCCCTCTAGCTCAAACCGCGGTTCGGCGTGGTCACTCTTCAGAAATCGCCTTTAATTAAATGTTTTTCGCGTGTGTCATCCTGATGGCTTTTACTGTACTCGAATTCCGTGAATGGGAAAGCGCCCGGACAGGGGGTGTGGCTAAGGTGGGGCGGGGGGGGGGATAACTGTAAAACAGCCAGCACATGATCAGCCATATTCCTACCTCCAACTATAACATCGAAGAGGAAGGGAGCGGCTCCCAGGGCCGGGTTCGCCTTTCCCCAGCCCTCCCCATTCACCGCCTGAAGCCCAGTGGCTAGAGGAGGGGGCGCGCTGGGCCGGTGCCCAAGCCGGGGTTGGAGAGATCCTCTCTGTCCCCAACCCCGGGCAGCTCCCGCTAGCCCGCTTCCTCCGGAGTGACAGGCGTGATTTATACATTATTTACAACAGTAATTAAAGCTGTAGCTTCCTCCTGCTCTTTGAAAACTCCAGGCGCATTCAAATAAATAATCCCCCACACCCGAGGGGGGTAAGAAAAAAATCCCACATCAGGTTCAAACACCTTTAAGAAAGAGAGAGAGAGTAAGTAAGCTTTCCTCAACAACCTACTTTAACTAGGAAAACGCCAGGAGGGACATCGGAGCCCGCCCCCCCAGCCCCATACACACTCCAAACACCAAAATGAAGTGTACAAATCTCCCAGGGAGGGGAAAAATCGCTCTCACTATCCAACCAGCATTCAACTTGCACTGACCAGCCCCAGGTTATTGCAGAAACACTAGGAATCTCAGAAAGGGAAGGATTCCCAAGGCAGAAATAAGTTTGGGTGCCTATCGAGCTTTCTTGCTCTGCTTGTTTTCTTTGTAGCGGCTGACTCCGACTGCGCGTGGAGTGCCCCACCGGACCGCCGCCCTAGGTGCGCTGGCGCGCACACGCCCCCACCAGCCCGGGCGCCGGGCTCCGAACCCGGGTCTGCAAACTTGCGCATCTCCCCTCGCCGCTCCCGCAACACAACTTGGCTAGCACCTCGCGCGCCCGCACCCTGTTTCTTCTGGCCTTTCCTCCAAAGCCCAAATCCATCGCCGTACTCCAGAGAGGGTGCCCGCGTCGCCCCCAGACCCCGGAGCGCCCCCTCTCCTTAACCCCCGGGGCTTCCCCGGTTACTCACTCCTCCCACCCCCCAAGCTCTGCGGGGGACCGAAAACACACCCCCCGACTCCAGCAGCTGGGGCCGAAACTGTCAAAAGGGGAAAAGGTAAAGGAGGAGGAGGGTGGCCATAAGCAGATATATATATATTTTTTCCTTCTTAAAAGGACACTGCCGCTTTAAAAGTTTCTTTCCCGGGCCCCCACTCCTTGATTCTCCGTATTTGGGGGAGCGTATTTCATTTCGGCAACGCGGCTTTCCTCCTGTCTTTGCAGAAAAATCAAAGCCAGGGGTTGGGTCCGCCGGCTGTCAACCCTCCCGCCGCCTCCCCCGCCCCCCTCTCCTCCCGCAAGCCGAGAACCGGCTGCAAAAGTTTGCAACATTTCTGGGGGGCGGAGGGGGGAGGGGCGAGGGGGTGCTCCGGGCTTCGGGCGCAGCTGCAGGCTCGCGCTCCGCCGCGGGACCCCGCGCCCTGGGCGCCCGCTCCCGGCCGCCCCCCGCTCCGCGCCCGGGCTCCGCCGCCCCCTCCCCAGCCCCTCTCCAGCCTCCTACCTCTGCTGGTGCTGGAATAGCTCTGTCTGCGCACCGCGGCGGGCGGCTCACTCTTGCGGGCGGATTCCTGGTTCAGCGGGGTCTCCCTGGAGCCGGCGGCCGCGTCCGCGCCGCTGCTGCCCGGCTCGCTGGCGGCGGGGTCGGGGGCTGCCGGAGCTGACTCCATGTTTTTTCCCAATGTAGAGATCGCTGGAGATGGCGAGCTCCGAGACTCCCTCTATCTTCTGTTTTCAGAGCAACTCTATGGTACCAAAAAAAAAAAAAAAAAAAAAAAAAGGGAGAAGGAGACCGGCGAGAGCAGGAGGGAGAGAGCAGGCGGCGGCGGGCGAGCGAGCGAGAGCGCGAGGGAGCGCGCGGAGTGTCTAGGTGGACGTGTGTGTGCGCCCGAGAGGGGATAGGAGGCGGGTCTGGCCACAGGCAGCGCTAGCGAGAGCTTCTCCAGCCGGCCCCCACACCCACATTCCCCACCCTCCAGACCCCAGACCGAGAGCCACAGACAGGCTGCCAATTTAGGGAGGTGGGGAAAAGAGGGGAGGAGGAGGGGAGTTCCTCCTGCGCCCCAATCTTCCCGTCTCCTCAACCCAGGGACAGAAATTAAAATCGGCGAGATGAATCTGTGTCTACTTTTGAGACTCTCTCGGGAACAGAACTCATCCCCATCTACAGCCAGCCTGGGAGGAGACAAATGCGGTTATCCACGTTGAGAAATCTCAGGTAGCTCCCTGCCAGCCCTATCCAGGGCTGAGTGGAAACTAAGAAAGAATTAGAACTGGACTAACACCCCAAAGAAGGAGGAGAATGGAGGACGTGGCACTTTTTACTTTGAAACGGGACAGTCAGTGGGTTTCCAATCTTGGTTAGATACGTATGTGTGCCTGAAACAGATTTTGTGAATCTAGTATCGCCATCGACAGCTAATTTCTGGTGTGGTTGAAAGAGGTCGCTTTCAGCTCCTTTGCTGTTTATTCAGCGAGGAATTCAGAAGCCATCCGTTTGGCAGGGCACTTTTTACTGAAGAAAACTTTGGCCTGTTTGTTGGATGACTGTCTAAATTGCAGAAAATATGCCACACTGCATCTAACTCCTGCGTGGCCGCTGATTGTTGATTCCCACTGGTACTTTGGCTGTTAAGTGTAGTCTTGCCATAAAAGATTGATATACTGGCATGGTGTTCATAATGTCTGGATGATAGAATTAGATACTCCTAATAAGTCACATCATTGAAAGCATTATTCTAAGATCTCCTTCATTTGAAACAACCCATCTTCTAGTGGATGCTTAAAACCCTAAAATTACATCAATGTAACCTTCATCCCAAACTACAGTATAAAGGAACAATACAAATTGAATGGATGGAAATATTCAAGTGGTAGTATCTTGATATATCTATCTCAATATCAATCCACCATTTTCTTTTGCCTGCAAAGACACTGATGAAATCAGTCCATTTTTAACATACACCCCCATCTTTCTTTCACAAGGCTCAAAAATTTTGACAATAAAAATATTATTATATACCAGAAGGTGGCATAAATATGTGTTTAAGGAGGTGGGGTGGGGGAGAGAATTGGGGAACATTGTGCATTTGCTAACTTTCTAGTTTGGAAAAAAAAATGCTTTTTAAAAAATAAGGGGGTTAAAATCTTGTTAGATAATAGCTTAAGAGGAACTTCTATATGCCAAATTTCACACATGGTTGAAGTTACTGTTACTGACCTTGATCTGATTTCATACACAATGCTCTTTGCCATGGTCTGTGTATTAATCAGCAAACCTGTGGTCCACTCTTTGGGGTGATGTAAATGAGATGTGAACAGTTCTGATACCTTAATCCAGTCTCTGCAAGGATCCCTGGCTTTAGCCTGTCTGTTGGCGCCTACACACAATGCCATGATTGTCTCCTCTATCCCAAATCAGATGTGTGAGTTTCCCCATACATCAAAGAACAGATTTCCAGAGTAGCCTTCACATCATTTACCATTGGTTAGCCTGTTAATAATGTTCTTGTTGATATTGACCTAACTGATCACACTTGACTTTTCTAAGTAAATAAATATATCAAGTGAACAGTTTAATCAACAATTTCCTCTGGGACAGTGAGCATCTTAAACTATATTAACTGCATTGTATTTTTAAAGAATACTTAGAAACATGCTTTCGAATTAAATTTCACCAATAATTCTATGTAGAATGCAAATAGCTCAAAAAGTAACCCTGGCTTCCTTTTAAGTACCAGTAGYAACTTGTTAATATTTTTTGGTTAAATCTGCTCCCCTGGTCATTCAACYGGTACTTTTACTTTTCTAATTTAACTAAGGTGGGATTTAGTCACCCTGGATAGATCTCCCAGAAAAGCAGCTCTACTGACCTTAACCAGTTAAGATAGGCTTTATATTCCCTTCAGAGAGAGGTCCCAGCTCCAAAAAACATTTCTCCTCACTCTCTAAGACAATTACTGCTTCTGCAATTTAAAACAATTGGGAACTCAAGTGCTTTCCCCAAGGGAAAAATAAAAGTAAGTTAGATACATTCCTTGACTGTCAATCATTGTTACTAAAGTGTAAATTTCCTGGATTGGGGAAGCATTTCAAACCTGAAAAGCACAGTGATTGGGTTTATATTTCTTTCCTTCCCTCCTGCCCCTTTCCTGATTACTAATTAGGGCTTTCCAATTTTCTAAATATTTGGAGAGATGGGAGCCTTTCTTAGATGTGCTTATTGATGAAGGGCAACAATGTTTGCTCAAAATGGTTATTTTACCTTGCAGTGAGTGCTCAGACAGGCAAAGGCTTTGAAAAATTGTCCTTTGTAGAAGAGATAAGCCTAAATCCAGGTTTTTGCTTCTCTTCTTTTTCTCTCCAGCCCTACAAGGACCCTACCTACCTCCTTGTCAATCCCAGGCTCCCCTCCTGATGGTAGCCCTACATTTCTCCTACTCTAAAAGTAATTACTGGGAGTCTGTGTCTCTGTCCCTCTCTTTCCCCCCGACCCTAGTTCTCCCTGTCCTAATGTACTTGCCATGTTCTATAAATTCTACTTCTATGACACCTGCCCTCTCCTGTGTTCATTCAATTCAAGCCACAATTGCTCACCTAAAGTATTGCAGTGACCTTCCAAATAACTGGCCTTCAGTCTTATAACCATTCTAATCCATTCGAGATAGCACTGCTGAGTAAATTACCCTGAACTACAGCTCTCATTTCCCACCATGTCATTCCCCTGCTTACAAGACTTTAATGTCTCCCCATTGCCTATCCAATTAACTACTAACTAGTCAACATGGTATTAAAGGCTCTACCTCACTTAACGCTGTACTCCTACACCAAGACTGGCGACTCAATCTCATCTTGGGGAGGAGCGCCTAAGGTTAGTTGGAAAGGTGTGGGCTGTGATTCATTAAGCTGTCTCTTATGGATGGAAGCAGTGTGACACTACTGCCATTAGTCTGAGTTTGCCAAACTGCCTTTTATACTTATATAATCCCTTTAATACACATGTAGTTGTCTGGTCACACCACATGCTATGCTGGTCCCTCCTATTCCTCCTCCCCCTCCTTCTTCTGTATGATCTCTAGGATATAGATAATTGTCAGTGCCACTTCTCAGACCTCAGTGACCTTCCTGTCTTCTCTGTTTACTGAAATTAACTTTTTTTTCAAGATTCATTCTCTATGACAACTCCTCTATGAAGACTTCCTTGATTCCCCCCAAACCAAATATTTGAATTTAGTGCTTTACACCCCTCTCAAAACACTGGATATGCTCCTTCTAACTCTTGCTATGGTTGTTCGAACATTTGCCTTATCCTCCATAGACACTATGTCCTTACACATAGTAGGCAGTCATTAGTGTTAGTGGATTAGGGGTAGGGGGGCTGATAAACTAATCATAAAATAGCATGTCCACACAGTGATTCCATTACACAACAAGAATAAAAACCTAAGCATTTCAACTTTCAATCACTTGAAATAAGCTTTTCCTTCCTGGATAAAAGATTAGTTGACATGTATGGGCTGTTAAAATTTATATATGCAAAAAAAGTTGACAGTTATTTTCTTGCATTTCTTGGAGAGAGAGAAGGGAAATGATGGAAATATATAGTCGAATTTCCTTGGGAGTGTAGAGCTTTCTACAACATGCATGAGAACAAAGAAGACAGAAAATTCAAACTGGGTGCCCAGACAACAAGTTTCCTTTCTTTCAAGAAAGCAGCAAGAAGCTGATGCTGGGCCACATGCTGAAAATAGAAGAAACTCCAATGAAAATGCAGCACATCTCTTGGGCTCCGAAGGGCTGCATCTTGCCCCAACCAGGAAAGCTAAGGGTCAGAAGAATGCTTCATCAAAATCAGAAGGAATGGTGTACATTGAAGACCTCACAGTAACAGGAGAGCCAGCTTACCAGACACCAAGAGGGAAAGAGGGATGTGAAAGCAAGTAGTGTCCACCCTGGATGATCCACTCCACCCATCCACTCACCCATACAGGTGAGGACACTAAAATGCATAGAAGTGACTTACATTGTCAGTTCAACATGCACTCAATATAAAATTAATTAATGCCACTCAATTAATCAGAGGCATTAATTAATTTTATATTGAGTACATGTTGAGCTGACAATGGTTCAGATATGTGGAGTTAAACAAAATACATTATTTGACTTGATTTCATCTCTTTTTTTTTTTAAAAAAATCTTGCTATTAGAAAATTTAAAAAAAAAAATACATGGTTTATTTTGTGTATCTAGTGGACCATGGTACTGTAGAAACTCTCTGGCACATGGTCGGTATTCTAACAATTTAATAGGAGTAATTGTTGAGGCTTCGTTTGAGACATCCCTGGGTCAAGAGTTAAATAYCCATCTTGTCCATTTCGCAAAATCTTAATTATGCTTCTGCTGTATGTTAGGTGACAAGGAAAACAATGTATTGTTTCTTATAGGGAAGGTAAGATGTGCACACTAAAACTAAGCAGCCTAACATGCTTGTCTTAGAATCATTCAGGAATGTGGTTTAAACTTCCCTTAAGACCTCCATATAACAATTAATAATCTTCCTCAGGCAATGTACCAGAAAGGACCCAGTCCTGTTCCCTTTGATAACTTCTGGAACTAGAGCTATGGCCTTCAAGAAAAGAGAGGAATTTGATGACATATTACCTTTGCTCCTTTGTCAAAGATCAGTTGATTTTATTTTTGTGTATCTATTTCCTCTCTGTTCTGTCTCATCAATCTAT